AACCTATCAAATATTTGAAAAAGCGTTAATTTTCTCGGTCAGTTCAAAGGTTATAATTTTTAAAATAAAAAACTGCGTATTTTTGTAAAACCGTTTTTTTTTGTTACAAACTGAATTTGCAATTGGAACAAAATTTTTGGCTGCAAACAAAAATGTTCGAACAGAGTTTATTAGTTTTCGACAATCTATCAGTTTTTGTTTTTTAAGTAAGAAACTGAGCATTTTTGGAAAAAATCTCAAAAGAGCTCTTTGGGTCCCAACTGAATGTAAAATTAGAAACTATGTTTTGTTTACAGAAAAACCATTAGCGGGCACCGTTTAACCGTCTGGAAACTGTCAAAAATTGGTAAAGCGTTACTTTTCTTGGACAATCTGATGGTTTTTATTTTTTGAATACAAAACTGTGCATTTTACAGAAAATTTGTTAAAAAGCGTTTCGTGCCCAACTAAAAGCGGAATTTGATAATATATTTTTGGTTGCAGAAAACCCATTGGCGTGCATCGAGTTTTGGTCTGGAACCTATCAAATATTTGAAAGAGCGTTAATTTTCTCGGCCAGTTCAAGGGTTATACTTTTTGAAATAAAAAACTGTGAATTTTTGTAAAAATAAGAAAAATGTTTTTTGTTGTTACAAACTGAATTTGCAATTGGAAAATAAGTTTTGTTTGCAAAAAAAAATGTTCGAGCAGAGTTTATTAGTTTTCGACAATCTATTAGTTTTTGTTTTTTAAGTAAGAAACTGTGCATTTTTGGGAAAAATCTCAAATAAGCTCTTTGGGTCCCAACTGAATGTAGAATTAGAAACTAAGTTTTGTTTACAGAAAAACCATTGGCGTGCCCCGTTTTACTGTCTGGAAACTATCAAATGTGCGAGCAGAGTTTATTAGTTTTTGACAATAAATTAGTTTTCATTTTTAAGTAAGAAACTATGCATTTTTGCGAAAAATCTCAAAACAGCTCTTTGGCTCCCAACTGAATGTAGAATCAGAAGCTAAGTTTTGTTTACAGAAAAACCATTGGCGTGCACCGTTTTGGCAAATACTTGACACACGGTTAATTTTCTCGGACAATCTAATAGTTCTTATTTCTTAAATAAGATGTGCATTTGCAACAAAACCGGAAAGAGATGAAAAGTGCAAAAAATCAACCAATTAAGTAGGAAAATTAATAGTAGATAACCTGGCCTATGTTGGGCCATGACGTTCTGGGTTCTTGTGGTGTTGGATAAGCACGTGATTGGTGGCATGCTGGCTGGTTGGATTTTCATAATTTTTTCGCAAAATAGTGCATTGATTTGAAATATTGCAGGAAAATGGAGCTGCATACTCATGCGGCGGCCTGGAAGTGGGCCAACTGATCCTCTCAGTGGACGGAACCCGAGTGGAAGGGTTGCAACATCAGGACGTGGCTCGTCTGATCGCCGAATCGTTCGCCCGCAGAGACCGCAGTGATATCGAATTTACGGTAAAACTTCGGCATTTTTGCCGCGAAAAGAACCGCTGCAACGGCGAAAATTTGCAGGTAATCGAGGCGAAGAAAAGCAACATGGAGCCGAAACCAACCGCTCTCATCTTCTTGGAAGCATAACATTTGCTGCGCCTCCCCCCTAGCGACCCTCCGGGGCCGATCGTCACCGAAGAACCGGAACCTGGGGACTGACGGTCCGAACCAATGGCCACTGCGCATGTGCGCACGAGTAGCTGCTGCAGCTGGTGCTTGTGCCAGTAGGCGGCCGCTCATGCGCACTTGTTCCGATGGCCAGCCAGATTGGCTTCGGACCGCAATCTACAACTACTACATATCATTTATAAAAAAAATAAGCAATCTGTGCACTTTTCGCGCGACAATTCCAAACGCCAAAAGTAGAGTGATATGTTGTTATTTCCTGTCGCTGGAAAGGTTCAAATTTTGCTCTAGCTGTGGTAGGTATCGCGGTTACTCTTGCATTCGCTGATGTTTGTTGTGTTCGGGCACTTTCGATTATGATCCCGAAGCCTCTCTGTAGAGACCATCAACGAAAATTGCAACAGAAAATAATCCTCTTTACTACTCCAGTCAGTCTGATGCTTTTACACACTTGAAATGGCTTCGCTACTCGTCTGTTCCTCCTTTTTACTAACGAAATATATTTCATAACTTTTCAATTAAGATTGTCCGCATTTTTAAGTGAAACTTTAGAAAATTGAACATTTTGAAAAAAGAGTACTTTGCCTAAAACCGGCAAATTCTGAATTTTTGACAAAATTTGAAAAATATTATTAATAAATGGTTCTCAAAACAAATCTAAATACAAGTAAACAAAAGTCGTCAACATTCTCACAGCAACGGAACTGACTTACTGCGCCGGTGCGTTAAGTTGGCGCACCAAGCCATTTGCGTAGCACTGCGCCAACTCCTAAAAATTCACTGAGTTACTAACGCTGAAAAAAGTTGGTTTTGACTTGCATTTAATTAATTGGTTTTTCCATAATCAGGCAGTTTTTTAATGAAATATTCAGTTTCGCTTGAATATTTAAATCGCACTGTATAATACTGACATCTAATTAAAAAACTAGAGGAAATTTGCTAGCGAAAACCGGTAAAGTTATGGCCAAACGTCGGCGCCCTCTAGCAATGTTTTTTGGCATTGTAGACATCTGCTCTCAACGCCAGTGAAAAGTGCGAACATTTCTTTTCCAACCAAGCTTAAAATGGGTAAAATCGAACAAACGGTTTAGAAGTTACCGCGATTTAAGTGTTGACTTTTTAAATGGCCTTTTCCACAGTCTTCAAGCTCGGTACCTCAAACACCGTAATTAGGAAATTTTAAAAATTGCAGAAACGTCAAAGTTTCCAAGAATTATTAGGATTTTTTCATGGCCGCTTGAGAAACGAAAATGTTTTCCTAAAATGTCTTTAAATGTTGGTCATTCAAGGTTGTTTAGTGAAAAAAACAGTAGCGCAGCGACTGCTGAAAATTGGACAAACTACAGAAAATTGTCATAAAAATGTTGCCCAGAACGTTGTTGAAAAACGCGATGTTAAATTGAAAAATGCAAATTTTTGGGGTTCGAAGTTTTACACAATTTAACAACAATTTAATAAACAGCCGGAATTACAGCCAACAATCGCAAATCGCACTAATGTCTTTGCTTTGATTCAATAGCTTGTGCATATGAAAAGTTTTCAAGGGCGCGTCGCGCTTGCTTCATATAGCCGTTTGGCAACACTCGAATATTCTGGTTCAATAATGCGTCGCGCTGCCTCGAACTTTCAGTAGTCATTGCGCTCGCATCGTTGCCGCTTTGACTTGTTATTCTGTGCTTAAATAAAAGTTTTCCGGAAAATGCTGTAAGATTATCCGCATTTTTAAGTGAAATTTTTGAAAATTGAACATTTAGAAAAAAGAGTAACTTGTCTAAAACTGGAAAATTCTGAATTTTTGATGGAATTTAAAAAAAAGATTAAAAAATAGTGCTTAAAATAAATCTAAAAACAAGTAAACAAAAGTCGTCAACATTTTCACAGCAACGGAACTCACTTACTGCGCCGGTGCGTTGGGTTGGCGCACTAAGCCATTTGCGAAGCACTGCGCCGACTCCTAAAAATTCACTGAGTTACTAACGATAAAAAAAGTTGGTTTTAATGAATTGGTTTTTTTATAATTAGGTAGTTTTTTTAATGAAATATTCAGTTTCGCTTGAATATTTAAATCGCACTGCATAATACTGACAATAAATAAAAAAACTAGAGGAAATTTGCTAGCGAAAACCGGTAAACAACATCACAATATCGTTTGTCCTTTAGAA